TGGTTCCTGCAGCAGGAGCCAAGGGACAGCTCAGCCCAGGCTCCCTCTGCTCCCCAGGCTCAGGAGCACAGGGAGAGGCTTTGCTTTCCTTGCCAAATCAATAGCACAGACTTAAGAGGGAGCAAAAGGTCATGTTGGTCGTTAATAAAAATCTCATTAAAATGGAGTCTGACAACGCTAATGAGGTGGTGCTTTGCTGGCTTATACCTACCCTGGTGTGAAATATTAACAGATAGACTTGCAGTTCTTAATCTCCTTAACAGATGTAAGATATTGGAATGCAACGTTTAATCCTCAGTTTAAATTGAGGAACATCCTTCAGCATGGATCTCAGGGAAAGAGGCTCCTTGATTTACCTCCCCAATTCCACCCCCTCCTCAGTGTGTTTGCATGCTGCATATTGAAATGAGATTATTTTTCATGTTTAATACTGAAGAATAACTAAATTGCTTGGCTCACATCTCACACTCTGGGTGAGTGGTACTGGGCACTGAGGTGGTGCAGGAAAAGTCCAGAAGAGAGCAGGGGGATGTGGTAACTGCTGCTGTGGGCTCACTCTGAATATCAGAGCTCAGATCTCAGGGCAGGTGACAGAGAGAGGATTTTGGTCATCCTGCCCTGGCTGGCACCAGCCTATCCCATCAGGCAGCCCAGCAATAACAGGGGCAGCACTGGGGATTGCAGCAGGAGCAGAGAGCAGGGGAGGCTGCAGCAGGAGCTGGCAGGGGGCACAGATGTGGCACAGCTGGCACCCTGCACCGAAACCAAGGGACCCAAACTCTGTCAGGAAAGGGAACTGACTGCAAAGGGTGCCTGGGTGAACCCCCAGCTCCACACTCTGCCCTCTCAGCACATCCCCCCAGAGCACTCTGGGACTGACTGGAAAGGCTCTGGGGCTGACTGGAAAAGGCTCTGGTTTGCCATTGTCACCCCAAACAAAGCCCTGGGCCTCACAGGATTTCCCATTCCCTGTTCCCCACAACACCCTGAGCCCAGAGACATTGCAGAGCCTGGGCTGAGGATGGGGGACATCTCTTTAATTCCATTATTCCTTCTGGGGGATGCTGGAGGTGCTGCTGTGCTGCCCCACACACACAGCCCTGTGTCCCCAGGCAGAAATGGGGAGTTGATTCCATGCAACACCCACATTAGGGACCAGCCAGGACACAGGGGCTCAGGGCCATGGCACAGGCTGTGTTTTAGCAGGCAGCTCCTCACAGAGGCAGGATGGAGTCAGGCCTGCAGTGTCTGTGCACAGGAGGTCCCACAGAGTGAATCCCACAGGGATCAAGGCTGGCCAGGCTGTGTGTGCTGCTGCTCCCTGATGCTTTCTGCCCCTGGGGTCTGAAACTCCCTCCCTTCCTGCCCTGGCTCAGCTGGGATTGGGTTCTCAGGATGCTCAGACCTGATACCAGCCCATCTCATTGCACTGTACAATTAATGTGCTATAATTATAACAACAATTACACTGTCCCAGCTCAGATGGCTCCAGGCAGGAACACAGGTTCCTTTGCCAGGTGACCTCTCAGTTCCACTGCAGTCATGCTCCTGCAGAGCCTGCTGGTGCCAAACAATCCCTTGGAAAGCAGCAAAGTTGGAGTTGGAGCACAATCCTGCCTACCTCCATGGCAGTGACAGAGACAAACCACACATCTGCTTATCCACCTCATCTCCCAAGGCTTGGGAGACTCAGGAAATTAAAATCTGGTCCTGCAGAGATGGATGGTGCTGTCAGTCACAGGCCCAGCTGACAGGGAAGGGGACTCTCCTCCCAGATCCCTGGACAAGGAACATTCCTTTAAAAGAAAAGCTTTAAATTGTGCTGCCCACAGGTGCCTGGCTGGGGTTTGTATTTCTGTATTTCTGTCAGCACAAACTGCAGGGGAGGGGAGGCCAGAGCAGGCTGCAGATGACAGCTGCAATCCTGGCCCTGCCATGGAACATCACCTGAAACACTGAGTTCTGCTTCCCCTGGATTTCCTCTCCTTCCAAAATGAGAGCTCTGCCTCATCTGAGCAGGGTCCCCACCCTGCAGGTGTGCAGAGCTGGGTGCTCCTGCAGCAGGGCTCCAGCCCCACATTAAAGGGAGCACTCCCCAGGCTGTACCAGAGGGATAAAAGACATTTCCAAACGATTCATGCTGCAGTAACTTCCACTTTCTGCAAATGGCAAGATAAAAGTCTCTGCCTGACAGAGCTGGGACACAGAGGAGGTGTCAGAGGAGGGACAATGAAGATGTGCTGCTCTCAGAGAGGCAGCAGAGCCAGACATGGACCAGAGCCATGGGATGGGGCAGGGAGAGCACTGTGGGTTCATCCACGTGGTGAACTCACACCCAGCTCTCATTTACCCTGGACAAGCCCCTGGTGTTTGTGTTCCCATAGGGCACTGAGTTCAATGAGGGGGCAGGAGAGACAGGGACACCCTTGGGACAGGCAGGGATAGCCCTGGGACAAGCAGGGACACACCTGGGACAGGCAGGGAGAGGTAGGAACAACCCTGGCATGGGCAGGGAGTGACAGGGACACCCCTGGTATGGACAGGGAAAGGCAGGGACACCTGTGGCATGGGCAGGGACCCCAATGGCATAGCAGGGACCCCCCTGGGACAGACAGGGAGAGGCAGGGACACCCCTGGCATGGATAGGGAGAGGCAGGGACCCCCCCAGCCCCAGCAGGACCCCCAGCCCCAGCACTGACCTGCAGCACGATGGGCAGCTGCTCCGGCGGGTTGCGGTTCTCCACGCCCATGGTCAGCCACACCTGGAACGCCGTGAGCTGCTCGGCGAAGAAGGGGCTGTGCTGGGGGAGCAGACAGGGACAGCAGCCTGGGTTAAACACCAGGGAGGGCAGGCAGGAGCTCTGACACCCCTGGCCCTCGCTGTTTCCCAGGTTTGTGCTCTGGAACTGAGCCGTGTTTGCTCGGGGTTTCTAAATGCACAAAACCTCCCCAAAGACTGAGCAGACACACGTCCCTTAAATGTGATGGGGAGAAGGAGGGAAGGGGAGAGAAAGGGGAAAAGTGAGCACAAAGGCCCTGGGGAAGCTGGTGCTGCTGCCCAAAGTGAGCACAGAGGTCCTGGGGAAGCTGGCTGCTCTCCCCAGAGCAGCAGATGGAGCAGAGAGGATTTATCTGCTCTGCAGAGGCCGTTTCACTCCTGCAGCAGCACTCAGAGCTGCCTCTGCCCCAGCCAGGGAGGCACAGCCCAGGTGCAATGAGAACAAATTCCTCATCCATCCATCACCCTGAGGATGTGCTGCAAACCCAGGGTGAGAATGCACTGACCAAAGCACTCAGCAGGAACCCACAGAGAAACAGGAATCAGTGGGGAAGGAGGGAGGGCAGAGATGGAGGAGGGAGAGAAACCCAGCCCAAACCATCCCTGTGGGAGCACTGGGAGCCCCCAGGCCCTTCCCCAGCAGGTTTTTGTGTTTGCCAGCTCTGAGCAGGCAGGAACAGCCTGGAAGAGCCAGGAGAGGTTTGAGATGTGCTGCTGATGCACCCCAGCCCTGAGGCTGTGCCCAGGGCTGTGCCCAGGGCTGTGCCAGGCCAGGCTGCACTGGCAGCCCCCAGCAGGTCCCTGTGCCTCACCCAGCTGCTGCCCAGCCCTGCCAGTGGCCACAATGACCACGGGCACTGTCCCTTCCCTGCTCCTGGCCATCCCCACCCAGGCTGGACCCGGCTGCACGCTGCTCCCAGCCCCAGCTGCTCTCTGAGGCTGAACCTGCCTCCATTCCAGCCCAAACCCCATTTGTCAGGCCTGAAAAGCAGCCTGGAAATTGCTCCCAGCCCACCCTGAATCGATGTCCAGCTGAGAATGGCCACTCTTGTCCGTGACCTCCTGCCTGATCCCAGCCAGTCTGTGCCTCTTCCCACCCCAGAACACTCAGAAATCTCCCAAATTTCAGCTCACTTGACAGAGAATGCCCAGCTGAGGGTTAACACTAATAAAAAAGGCCTCCAATGGCATTGTTAGAGACTGAAAGTAAAAATGAACGTAAGCCAGGAGAGGAAAAATAGTATTTTTTACGTTGTAAAGCAGAGCACAGAGTGAGGAAGGAAGGGTGGGAGGATAAAGGCCTCAGGGCATCCTCATCAGCCCCCAGCCTGGCAGGAGCCCACAGCTCTCCTGCTGCAATTACAGCCAGAAAACCTGGGGAAGTTTGGGAATATAAATAAACTGCAAAAATGCTGCTGAAAATTAGAGAGACATCAGGGCGGAGCAGGGACCTGAGCTCGTACAGCAATTATTATTTAAAGTTTCACTTCATGGAATGGCAAAGGAATATCAAGTAAAATCCATTCTGAATAAAGGCATTTAAACTAAATAGAATATTAAAATTTTTTGTTTTCTGAGATTAAATAAAGCAGAAAAACCCCCAGTGAGTCCTGTTAACAACCCTGGGACAGTGCCCACTCACCCTGAAGGCAGTTCCCTCCTCGATGATGGTGGGCAGCTGGGAGAGGCAAATGTCCACAGCAAGGTCCCAGGCTTGCCTGCAGGGAGAGAGGGAACCACAGGTTATCCTCAGGAACAGCAAGGGAAACTGGAATTGTGACCATCCAGGAATGTGGGCAGTGTTATCTGGCTCAGGAGTGCTCAATATTCCCTGTTTCCAGGGAGAAATGGGGAAAACACCTGAAGGAGTTTCTGCAGCACTGGAGAGTGTCAGCCCACAGGGCCTTTGAGGTGTTTTACTGTGCAGGAGAATGGCTCAGGAAGCAGAGACAACTGCTCTGATTTTGGCTGCCCACAGAAGCATTCTGAGGGTCACTCACTGCAGCAGCACACACAGAAGATGCCCAGCTCCTCACAGTAATTTTAGGTAAGCAGCACTAATACTGCTACAGAAATGCCCAAAGCAGCCCTGTGAGGTCAGATCTCAAAGGCTTTAAGTGTTATCAGAAAGAACAAACAAAAAATTTGAAAAGAGATCGGAGTAGATTAAAATGAAATCTCTTTTTGATGCTTCTAAAATCAGGCTGCTGGAAAGAGCCACAGAGCCAACACCACCCAAACCATCCAAACCTCTGCCAACCTTCCCAAACAAAAACCACAATGTGAAACCTCAACCCTCCTGCTCTCCACAACCAAGGGCTGTTGATTAATGGCAGCTGTGGAAGAGGCTCTACTCAAGCCAGATGCTTCTCCAGCCATCCCAGAGCAGCCCTGAAATGATTCTCCAGCCCTTCCAAACCCCCCAAAGCGCTGCTTCTGTGCAAAACACAAATCCTCCCAGCCCACGGGACACCAGCAACCAAAGCAAAACTTCTCTGCTTCCAACCAGTGCAACAGCTGCTCCCTCCTCAGAGCCTCAGGGTTACACACAGGTTACACACAGGTTACTCACTGTGCTGGCTACACAGACAATGCCATTAAACTCCTGTTACAATAATTACAGGATTCAAACCAAGCCACGAACGAATGGGAAAGGGATAAACCCTGGAGGGTGGGGAGAACTCTGGCACAGGGCTGGGGACAGGGATGGCTGGGAGGAGGAGGAGGAGGATGAGGAGCAGTGATTGGCAGCTTTAATATTCCAGAGAAAACAGGAAAGGTGGGCACGCCGTGGATGTGCTGCCCAAATCCCATCACACAAACAAGAGATAAATTTGGGAGCGCAGGGACCCGGGATGGGAGGAGCTGCATCCCACCCGTGATTTATGAAAGGCAGAGATCACAGCAGCCCCTCAGCAGAGATGCTGCCTGCAAAGGGCTCTGCAAGATTTTTTCTCACTGCATTTGGGACACAAAGGGCTCAACATTGTTCTTTGCTCCCTGCTCTCCCCAGTAACTCCAGGCCCTCCACCCTGACAGTGACACACTGATGGATCCATGGGGTGACAACCCTGTAAACACCCAGGCCTTCCACTGAGTTATGCTGTGAAAGAAGGTGTTATAGAGGATGATTTTTAATATTACCTTGCAGTAATTGCACAAAGTTGAAAGCTCTCCTTAGCAGGAAGATTGACTCAGTTAAATAAAGGGATTTTGCTTATCCCAAAGCCAAGGCAGCACCACAGCAGGAATTGTGTGTGGAGGGACCCCACCTCAGCCCAGCACCCTTTCACTACACCAGGACTCTCTGAATGTTCAATAATTTAACACAAACTCATCAGCTGCCTCCTTGTTTCCCAGAGCTGCTGCAAAGTTTAGAATTAAGTTCCAGCCCTGGGACTGTTCACTGCCCAAACCATGAACTGCCAGGCAGTGGAACCCCAGGAGCACTGGGGATGTGAGATTTCTGAGAGCAGAGTCCTGGAGCTGTCTGCCTGCACCCACGGGTACCCATTAGCTGGCAGCTCCTGGGGGCTGATTTCCTTACACTCAAATTTTTGGGCTGACTCAATGTCTAATGCTTTTAACTCTGGGTTTGGTTTTTTTTTTTTTTTTTATTAATAATGTATTCTTGACGTCTTTTAACGCTCTCTTTCCCCCTGGGAGTGGTGGGTATTACCTGGCACCACCCAGGTACCAGGAACAGGAGGTTCCCTGCCTGGAGGAGCAGCTGGAGGGAGGCTGAAGCCACCCCTCAGCCCTGGGGCACCTCCTCCTTCTGAGCCCCATTTCTGGAGCCATTAAATATTTCCCAGCCCACACGGTCTGTTGGGCAAGACATTCCCCATCAGTTCTGGAGCCCAGTGCCAGCCATGCCCTGTGACACTGCCCAGGTGCCAGCCCCAGCTCACCTGTGTGGCAGCCACCCTGTCACCTCCCTAAGCTGCTTTAGGGCACAGCTGGAAGCTGCTCAGACACAGCTATTTTTATAAGCTGGTTATTGCTGTGAATATCTGGCACAAGTCTGAAATCCTTTTCTTCCCCCAGCACATCCCCCTGCTCCAGCCACGACTTAGGGCACAGGCTTTGCTATTTCTGTGCCACAGCAAAGTGTCCTAGTCTGATAATGGGGCTTGGAGATGGCAAGGCTAACACAGAGACACAAAAAATATCAGGTTGCAGTGTAATCTGAACTAATCTAATCCTTCAGCAGCTCCAAATGCCTCTCCCAACAATCACCTTCCTCCTGCAGAGCCCTGAGTGCCTGGGTGCAGCTCCAGCTCCTCATTTCCCTGAGGGATGGCTGGGCAGCCCTGATCCATCCTGCTCCACCTGCAATTGCCTTGCTGCATTATGGTTTTGTTTCCAGCCCCAATCTCCAGCTCCCTGGATTTGCAGTACATTATGGCTCCTTTCAACCCAAATTTCATGGCCTGCAAACACACCACAGTGTTTCTATTAGGGATGGGTTGTAGCTCTTCCAAAGCATAATTAAGGCACTTGGGGTTTAATATATGACCTGTGTTAGGAAATATTTCCAAACACATTATTAGGTCTTTTCAGAGGCCGTGAATAAAAGCAGCTGGCAGCAGAAGTAATGCACAAAGCCTCATCCATCACAGCACAGATCAAGGTGCTGACAGAGCTCTGTGCTCAGGCACCACAGACAGAGCCACTCTCAGCTGCACAGCACAGCCAATCAATGGATATTAATATTCATGTTAATATTAATCCTGCATTAGGGCCCTGCAGTGAGGGCAGCGCACAGACACAGCCCCAGGGGAAGGGGCTGAGAGGCACAGCTCAAGCCAAGAAAAGCAGGAAAACCAGAAGTAATGGGTCAGATTGTGTCCAAGGGGCCCAGCCACAGAGATCAGCTCTCCTGACCCAAAGCACCCTGCCCTGCTTGGTGAAGGGAGGAGACTGACAGCTCCTGGGTCAAACATCCCCTCAAAAAAGGGAAATTCTCACTTCTCCTCAAGTTCCAGCTCAAAAGGACACTGTGGACACAAATGAATTGGCCAGAACACCAGCTTGAAGGGCTGAGTTTTGAAAAGGCAGAGCAGCTCCCAGCTCCAGCAGCTGCGTCCCAGCTGTGCCAGATGCCAGCTCAGCGCCAGCCCAGGTCACCTGCAGAACCCTGCACAGCACAGATGGGCTGAGCAAAGCAGAGAGAGCACAAAGGTTCATTTGGTGCCCCAGAAGGGGCAGTGGGAATCATCCAGGAGGTGAAAATTGAAGCTCAGTTGGTGCTTGCAGAGCTGCTCCCACCACATGCAGACCTTGTCACAGCAGCCAGACTTGCTCCCCAAACTAATGCCAGGGGATTGAAAAATCTGGGGAAAGTCTGGATAAAACACCCATCAGAAAACTCTGCTGGATCAGAGCCACAGACCTGGGTTCCACACAATGCCCTGGCTGGAGTTTCATCCTTTCCAGCACCTGTGGCCAACTCCCCTGCCCTCGTCCATCACCCAGCTCATCCCATCTGTAAAATGGGGCTGCAGCTTTCAGATCAGGCATCCATTACAAATTCCTGAGTGAAAGGTGATAGACAAGTAATTATTTTTAGAAAATATTTCAAGGAGCCCTAAATTAGTTTCTAAATCTGTCCTTACTAAAAGTTCCTAATAACCACTGAGCCACCTCGGCCAAAAGTGGAATTTTCCCTTTTGCTGGATTTGCTGCAAACTGCATGTTTTTTGGAGGGCACTGAATAAAGTGTGTCAGTTCCCTGCTCTCTTGCTCTCTACCTCACCAGTGTTTAGGATTCATGTGGAAAAGAGCTCTTTGTGTCCTGTTCTTATGGAATTTCTTCTGGTAAATCCTACAAAGCAGCAGCAGCAGAGGTGCTGTGCTCTGAGGGGCTTCACAAAGGTGTCCCCAGCACCATCCTGCAGCTTCCCAAAGGAATTTCCAGCACCACTCTGCTCCAGAACCACACTATGAGCCAAGAAAATGTGCTTGTAGACCCCACTGTGCTGCCATGTGAGTCTGAGAGAGATAAAAGTGGGATCCAGGAGCTCCCATTTCATTCCTGTGGCTCATGGATGGCAACACCAACTCAAGTCAAGCCATATTCCCACAGGAAACCAGAAACACAGGCTTTTAATAGGCTGGCAATAAGAATGAATTATGTCCCTATAAGGAACAGAAAATATAGATTTTTAATATGCTGGCAAAAAAACAAGCCATAAATAACTCCAGAAATTTACTGGTTTAATTTTGAAACTCCTGCAACAGCGAGTCCTACCCTGCTGCACTTGCAGAGTGCAGCTGATGGCTGGAGCCCTGCCACGTCCAGCAGCAGCTCAGGGTCCCCAGGGTGGCTTTTCCTGCCCTGTCCCAGCCCTGGTGACAATGACAGAACAGCTCATCCCAGTCACAAGTGCCCAAAGCAGTTTTGCTCAGGAGCTGCTGACCCAAAGCACTCAGGGTTCATTGTCTGCATGTCCCAGCCCTCAGAACGTTCAGCTCCAGCCAAGGCTCCCCAGCTTCCTCCAGGATTTTAATATTTAAAGCAGCTCTGTGGGACCTGCAAATGCCTCCTCAGTGTTTGCTGCACCTGCACAGGCTCCTGGGGCTCCCTGCTGCCAGCCTGGCCCCATCCTCTGCAGAAACCATGGAATGTTTGGGTTGGAAGGGCCCTGAAAGCTCAGCTGCCACTGTCCCAGCTGCTGTCAGTGCTGCACTCATTCATCACCACTCTCTGTGCTCACCTTCCTGCACATCTGCATGGAGCAAAGCCATTGAAAGCTCCTGGAAGTGCTGAGCCCCCTCAGTGCCTTTACCCTCACTCCCTCAGCCTTTGGCAAGGCTCTGCTCTGTCCCCAGGAGCCCCTCAGTGCCACTGCCCCCCTCTGCACCTGGCCCCGTTTGGTGCTGCTCTATTAATCACAGTGAGCAAGAAAATAAAAGCCAGAATTTTGGTTATTACTATTATTATTATTATTTTTACTATAATTGTTGTGGGACATTGGTTTGATAGGCAGAACTGCATTTAAGAGCTTTCTGATAACTGTGCCACCTCCATTTCCATTAATCTCCTTAAAAGCAACAATAAAAGCACAGGAACTCTAGAGCAGGAATTTCTCCTACTGCAGCAAAGGATCTGCCCACCCCACACAATCCCTGGGGAAACAAAGGCAGAGGCTGAGCCATTTCTGTGGGGTGTGAGTGAGAGCTGCCAGGGCTGGGGGGCAGCTCCTGCAGCACAGAATTAGAGGAGCATTGTGCAGAATTACAGCATCCCAGGGCAGGAGCAGCTTTGGGGAGGGGCTTCAAAGAATAGTATTCTTTGGCATAATATAGTATATTATATTAAAGAATAG